TTTATATTTAAAATATATATACAAGAAAAATTATATATACATACATACATATACAGTGGGGCAAAAAAGTATTTAGTCAGCCACCAATTGTGAAAGTTCTCCCACTTAAAAAGATGAGAGACGCCTATAATTGGCATCATAGGTACACCTAAACTATGAGAGACAAAATGAGAAAAAAAAATCCAGACAATCGCATTGGCTGATTTGGAAAGAATTTATTTGCAAATTATGGTGGAAAATAAGTATTTGGTCACCTACAAACAAGCAAGATTTCTGGCTCTCACAGACCTATACCTTCTTCTTTAAGAGGCTCCTCTGTCCTGCACTCATTACCTGTATCAATGGCACCTGTTTGAACTTTTTATCAGTATAAAAGACACCTGTCCACAACCTCAAACAGTCACACTCCACACTCCACTATGGTGAAGACCAAGTCGAAGAGCTGTCGAAGGACACCAGAAACAAAATTGTAGACCTGCACCAGGCTGGGAAGACTGAATCTGCAATAGGCAAGCAGCTTGGTGTGAACAAATCAACTGTGGGAGCATTAATTAGAAAATGGAAGACATACAAGACCACTGATAATCTTCCTCGATCTGGGGCTCCACGCAAGATCTCACCCCGTGGGGTCAAAATGATCACAAGAACGGTGAGCAAAGATCCCTGGAAAACACGGGGGGACCTGGTGAATGACCTGCAGAGAGTTGGGACCAACGTAACAAAGGCTACCATCAGCAAGACACTACGTCGCCAGGGACTCAGATCCTGCAGTGCCAGACGTGTCCCCCTGCTTAAGCCAGTACATGTCCAGGCCCCTCTGAAGTTTGCTAGAGAGCATTTGGATGATCCAGAAGAGGATTGGGAGAATGTCACATGGTCAGATGAAACCAAAATAGAACTGTTTGGTAGAAACACAACTCGTCGTGTTTGGAGGAGAGAGAATGCTGAGTTGCATCCAAAGAACGCCATACCTACTGTGAAGCATGGGGGTGGCAACATCATGCTTTGGGGCTGTTTCTCTGCAAAGGGACCAGGACGACTGATCCATGTACAGGACAGAATGAATGGGGCCATGTATCGTGAGATTTTGAGTGCAAACCTCCTTCCATCAGCAAGGGCATTGAAGATGAAACGTGGCTGGGTCTTCTAACATGACAATGATTCCAAACATACCGCCCGGGCAACGAAGGAGTGGCTTCGTAAGAAGCATTTCAAGGTCCTGGAGTGGCCTAGCCAGTCTCCAGATCTCAACCCCTTAGAAAACCTTTGGAGGGAGTTGAAAGTCCATGTTGCCCAGCGACAGCCCCAAAACATCACTGCTCTAGAGGAGATCTGTATGGAGGAATGGGCCAACATATCAGCAACAGTGTGTGCCAACCTTGTGAAGACTTACAGGAAACGTTTGACCTCTGTCATTGCCAACAAAGGATATATAACAAAGTATTGAGATGAACTTTTGATATTGACCAAATACTTATTTTCCACCATAATTTGCAAATAAATTCTTTCCAAATCAGCCAATGTGATTGTCTGGATTTTTTTTTTTCTCATTTTGTCTCTCATAGTTGAAGTCTATCTATGATGCCAATTACAGGCCTCTCTCATCTTTTTAAGTGGGAGAACTTGCACAATTGGTGGCTCACTAAATACTTTTTTGCCCCACTGTACATACTACTATGAATGGTGTGCTAAAAAATGACATATACTTGTGTGTGTAATAAAAAATATTTTTTCAAACATAAAAAATAAAAATAATAATACTAAATGATTAAGTGGGTCGCCTACACCATACACATACTCATACTTGTGTGTCACTATAATCAAAAACAAATGCAAATGTATTGCGCTCTACTAATATATGTGAAATATACTCAATGGACTTATTCATAAACAATATAAAATTTAAAGTAATTTTCAATAAATTATAAATAACATATGTGAGTCTGACACGTTTGCATTTGTTTTTGAAGCTCTGTGCGTGTGCTTCAATATAATCACACTGCTTTGGATGGTTCTGCACAGCCATCCAAAGCAGTGCGCAGGAGCTGACAGGGATGAGAACTGTATTGTTTACGTACAGTTCTTCTCCCTGTCGGAGATCCTCAGATGGCAGTGCAGCTAGGGCGTGCGCGTCTCCCTACCCGGAAATGCAAAATAATGTATATATACACGATTTTTCGCACCCATGCAGCCCTGTAGCAGTATATCTGCTATAGGGCGGTCGGGAGGCCGTTAATGCATTCCTTGCATTAAGGTAAAAAAATGTTTTGGCATCAGAATCCTCACTCACCTCCCCCTTTTACTTACCGGAGTCCCCGTTGGATCCAGGGCCATGCACTTCTGCAGCTCTTCTCTTCCCTTAATTCCGTGTCCCGCTGGCTTTGCTGGGACATCACTGGCTCCCAGCGCTGCCAAGTCGGGCCGAGTCCCGCTGTCTTCATCACTAGACAGAGAGGAGCGGCCAGGAGCACCAGTGGGGAACCTGAGAAGAGGAGGTTTGCGACCACTCTGTGCAATTTCATTGCACAAAGCAGGTAAGTATAGACATGTTTGTTATGGTTTTGAAAAAAAGAAAAAAAAATCTTTACAATCACTTTAAAAGCTGATTGGCTACCATGCACAGATGCACCAGATTCTGATTGCTCCAGTTTTAGTAAATCTACCTGTCAGGAATGGACTGGCCAGCAATGGTGGGACTCACTTGCCTTATGGGCTGCAGTACCAGGGCTGGCCAGCGGGTGCTTCCAGCAATCAGAGACTCAACCTTGCAGCCAGCCAAACACCTGAAACTGCTTATACTGATGTATTTAAGGGATGGCCAGACCTGCAGACTCTGCCTTGGTGTGTGTTTCTCCTGGGCCCTGTATCCTGTTCCTGCTCCCTGTTCCTGTCTGATTCGTTGCTGACCCTGCTCCTGATCCCTGGCTTTGTCTGACCATTCTCCTGCTCCTGATCCCTGGCTTTGTCTGACCATTCTCCTGCTCCTGATCCCTGGCTTTGTCTGACCATTCTCCTGCTCCTGATCCCTGGCTTTGTCTGACCATTCTCCTGCTTAACCCCATACGTTCTGACCTCCTGTTGATAATCCCGGCCTGCCTGACGACGCTTGCATTGTATGTACTGTTATCTGTGGGTGGTTTGGTTTGGTTCGTTTGCACTGTGTTATGTTTTAGTGTTGCACTGCGTTTATGTATTGTTAGTGTTAATAAATTATATTTATAACATATCTGAAGCCTGCGTTTCCCTGCGTCAGTCACATACCTCTGGTCACACCCTGGAGCCTGACATTACACCAAGGCCAATCCTGACCAGAAGTGGCTGCACAGGGAAGCCATCTTGGTTTGTTGATGGGAAGGATGGATCTTGATGAGGTTGTGTATTTATATCTGCTAGTGTTTGATGACAGAGAGTATGCTTATCAAACTCTGAAGGAGTATCCCCGGGATGAACTGCTAGAATGTATACGGCTCGCTCATGTTCTAGTAGATCAGGGCACAGAATTCTCTGAGGTGCAGCCATTGATTCAGATTTGTGCGGAGTTGGTTTCATCTGGTACCCCCGAATGCAGGGATGAATTTTTGCCGCCATTTAGTGCCGACCAGGTAGAGTCCCTGGTATGGTTATTAGAGGATGATGTGGATTGCTTCTTGGAGCATTATGCTGCATGTTCACCACAGGTATTAAGGGATTGTATAAACGCAGTGCAGTCTTTGGTCAGACAGGCTTTGTGTAAGCTCAGCTTTGTTCAACCCATACTGCAGACATGGACAGATTTGTTGCACCCAGCCTCAGTCAGCCTACAAAAACCCAGTCCTGCTTCTAATCTATTTCCTCAAAGCTCTATTCCTGCATTCCCAACAGCAACAGCTCCTCCTGCCCTCTCTATCTACCACATGTCAGTACCCTGTTCCCACTTGCTGCACCTATCCTGCCTTTAACCCTGTAAAAAAGCCCCCTGTAGCAACTGCTCCCTCCTCTGTTCCATCCTCCAGCTCTTCTCTGTCTCCAGCTGCTCCATTCGTTTGCAGACCTGCGTTTACTTGCAGTGCTCCAGTAGTTAAAACCAGAAAAAAGCAAAAATTCTTTCCAACCAATACCATCCTGCCAGTATCCAAACCGGTGAGCCTGCCGTCTGAGAACCTGCCTTCCGTGGTTCAGCCTGGTGCCTCGGCACCCGCACTTCAGCCTGAGGCCTGTACCCAGCCTGATGCCTCTCTTCAGCCTGATGCCTCTCTTCAGCCTGATGCCTCTCTTCAGCCTGATGCCTCTCTTCAGCCTGATGCCTCTCTTCAGCCTGATGCCTCTCTTCAGCCTGATGCCTCTCTTCAGCCTGATGCCTCTCTTCAGCCTGATGCCTCCACTCAGCCTGATGCCTCCACTCAGCCTGATGCCTCTACCTAGCATGATGAACTGATCCAGCCTGATGATCCTATTAGGCCAGTTGACTCGATGCCCGCTGTTGATCCAGATGATTCGGTACCTGATCCGGTGCCCGCTGTCGTGCCAATTGACTCAGAGCCCGCTGTCGTACCTGGTGATTTGGTGCCCACTGCCTTGCCAGATGACGCGGTGCCCGCTGGCGAGCCAAATGACTTGATGCCTGGTGACCCAGTGCCCGCTGTCATACCTGGTGACCCGATGCCCGCTGTCGAGCCAGACGATCCAATGCCTGGTGACCCGGTGCCCACTGCCTTGCCAGATGACGCGGTGCCCGCTGGCAAGCCAAATGACCTGATGCCTGGTGACCCAGTGCCCGCTGTCATACCTGGTGACCCGATGCCCGCTGTCGAGCCAGACAATCCGGTACCTGATGACCCGGTGCCCGCTGTCGTGCCAATTGACTCAGAGCCCACTGTCGTGCCTGGTGACTTGGTACCCACTGTCTTGCCAGATGACGCGGTGCCCGCTGTTGAGCCAAATGACCTGATGCCTGGTGACCCGATGCCCGCTGTCCAGCCAGACGATCCAATGTCTGACCCAGTGCCCGCGGTCATACCAGTTGACTGGGAGCCCACTGCCTTGCCAGATGACGCGGTGCCCGCTGTCGAGCCAAATGACCTGATGCCTGGTGACCCGATGCCCGCTGTCCAGCCAGACGATCCAATGTCTGACCAGTGCCCGCGGTCATGCCAGTTGATTCGGAGCCCACTGCCTTGCCAGATGACGCGGTGCCCGCTGTCGAGCCAAATGACCTGATGCCTGGTGACCCGATGCCCGCTGTCCAGCCAGACGATCCATTGTCTGACCCAGTGCCAGCGATCATGCCAGTTGACTCGGAGCCCACTGTCGTGCCTGGTGAGTGACCTGGTGCCTGTCGCTCCGCCTGGGGGTCCGGCGCCCGCCGCTCCGCCTGGGGGCCCGAGACCTGTCGCTTCGCCTGGGGGTCCGGCGCCCGCCGCTCCGCCTGGGGGTGCCCGAGACCTGTCGCTCCGCCTGGGGCTCCGGCTGGGGCCCCGCCGCTCCGCCTGGGGGCCCGAGACCTGTCGCTCCGCCTGGGGGCCCGAGACCTGTCGCTCCGCCCTGGGGGTCCGGCACCCGCCGCTCCGCCTGGGGGCCCGAGAGACCTGTCGCTCCACCTGGGGGTCCGGGCGCCCGCTGCTCCGCCTGGGGGCCCGAGAGACCTGTCGCTCCGCCTAGGGGTCCGGCGCCCGCCGCTCCGCCTGGGGGCCCCCGGTGCCTGTCGCCCCGCCTGGTGGCCCGCTGCCTGCTGCTTCGCCTGGTGATCCGATGTGCCTCTGCCCGGAGTCCAGCCCGATGTGCCTCTGCCCGGAGTCCAGCCCGATGTGCCTCTGCCCGGAGTCCAGCCGATGTGCCTCTGCCCAGTCCAGCCCGATGTGCCTTCTGCCCGGAGTCCAGCCCGATGTGCCTCTGCCCGGAGTCCAGCCCGATGTGCCGCTGCCCGGAGTCCAGCCCGATGTGCCGCTGCCCGGAGTCCAGCCCGATGTGCCGCTGCCCGGAGTCCAGCCCGATGTGCCGCTGCCCGGTGTGCCGCTGCCCGGGAGTTCTGCCCGGTGTGCCAGTCTTTGATATCCCGCCAGTTACCAGACCGGGCGGTGGAAAACATTTTGCCCAGCTAGGACTGTTTGGAGCATCCTGAGGCCGCTCCTTGAGGGGGGGGTACTGTCAGGAATGGACTGGCCAGCAATGGTGGGATCACCTGCCTTATGGGCTGCAGTACCAGGGCTGGCCAGCGGGTGCTCCCAGCAATCAGAGACTCAACCTTGCAGCCGCCAAACACCTGAAACTGCTTATACTGATGTATTTAAGGGATGGCCAGACCTGCAGACTCTGCCTTGGTGTGCGTTTCTCCTGGGGCCCTGTATCCTGTTCCTGCTTCCTGTTCCTGTCTTAATTCGTTGCTGACCCTGCTCCTGATCCCTGGCTTTGTTCTGACCATTCTCCTGCTCCTGATCCCTGGCTTTTTCTGACCATTCTCCTGCTCCTGATCCCTGGCTTTGTCTGACCATTCTCCTGCTCCTGATCCCTGGCTTTGTCTGACCATTCTCCTGCTCCTGATCCCTGGCTTTGTCTGACCATTTCTCCTGCTTCCTGATCCCTGGCTTTTTGTCTGACCATTCTCCTGCTCCTGATCCCTGGCTTTGTCTGACCATTTCTCCTGCTCCTGATCCCTGGCTTTGTCTGACCATTCTCCTGCTTAACCCCATACGTTCTGACCTCCTGTTGATAATCCCGGCCTGCCTGACGACGCTTGCATTGTATGTACAGTTTATCTGTGGGTGGTTTGGTTTGGTTCGTTTGCACTTGTGTTATGTTTTAGTATTGCACTGCGTTTTATGTATTGTTAGTGTTAATAAATTATATTTATAAACATATCTGAAGCCTGCATTTCCCTGCGTCAGTCACATACCTCTGGTCACACCCTGGAGCCCTGACACTACCCCTTAGGTTTCACCATATATAGTGCTATGAAAAAATGATTTGCCACCTTTCTGATTTTCTTTTTTTTTTTTTTCACACTTAATTGATTCAGATCAAACAAGTTTTATAAATACACAAAGATAACCCAAGTAAATACAAAATGAAAGTTTTAAATGATTTTCTTTATTAAAGGGAAAAAAAAACGATGTCAATTACTTTGTTTTCTCAACTGTTCTTGAATTTCTCTTTTGCTTTTTGAGATCTTTTAGCATGCTTCACTTTGTCAGAAAGCTACCATACAAGTGATTTCTTGATTCAACAACAGGTGTCAGAGCTCAGTTCCTGCTACTTAATGAGCTAGCTCTTTTCTTTCAGTGCTCAGAAGATGCCTTAGCTGTTCGGTTAATTAACAGCCACTCCTTGCCGGTTGGCTGACTTTTGATTGTTTTTCCTGTTTTTTGGTTTTACTCAGGGCTTCTGGTTTTGATTCTGGCTTTTCTGATAACCCTTTTTGGGATCCCAAGCCCCGGTTTGTTTTGAGTTCGTTCCTGTTGTTATATGTTATATTTGCTTTCATTCAAGGTGTGATTTTGTCTCCACCTGGTTCCCTGGGTTTCCCGACATTATGCAAGGGCCCTGAATTTA